TTTTGCCAAACAAGTGCGAGCCTATCGTTTCCAAAGCCAATGGAAGGCCATCGGCATACCACACTGCACGCTTTATGACTTCCTTGTAACATGGATCAACTTCTTTGTTCTTGAAAGCATTCCACTTATACAATTCAAGGGCTTCCATATGGTTAATTTCACCAACCATGTACTGTTTTTGAACTCCATGAACATCTAACAAATGCTTATCCCTTGTTGTTATGATGACGATGCTACCAGGGCCAAACCAATCAAGTCCTCCAACAGTTGCTTGCAATTGTTCTTTTTTGCTAATATCATCAAGCACAAGGAGGACTTTTTTCCCACAAAGTCTGTGTTGTAGTATTGGAATTCCTCGATGCACATCTCCTAACTTGATATTTCTTTCCCCCACCAACTCAGACAGCATTGTCTCTTGGATATGCACCAGACCTTTTTCCCTGACATTAGCAAGAAATTGCGAAGCTTCAAATTGATCTTCCATCAAGTTGTACATCGCACGTGCAAGAGTTGATTTTCCTATTCCTCCCATTCCATGAATCCCAAGCATGGTCACTTTCTTATCAAACTCACCACCCATGAGTTCTTGTATCTGTTGCATCCGATCTTTCAAACCAACAGGATACTCAGCAATATGTAAGGGAGACCGCTTAAAACTATCGGAGATCTCTTTTATGATCTTTTTCACTATATTAGACTCATACTTTTCACTGCCATTCATACAAGAGCAATCAAATCACTGTCACATTGGCAAATCAGAGAGACTATTGCTATATACTGATAATTTGTAACAGAGATGACTTACCCAGATTTGAAATGCAAACCAGACAAATTAGCAGCATCATACAAAGCCCGCCTCCATTGTTGAAGCTTCTGAATGTCATCTTTGAATCTTTCACCAAGCTTTGCAAATGCTTCTTGGTAACTCCCTGTTTGATTTCGCACTTGTGATGGCTCTACGTCATAAAACACTGGAAAAATCAGCATGTTCTGTTTTGTTCGGCACTCAATGATATGGAGAAGTTCGTCCAAACAAAATGTTGAGAAAGCATAGTTTTGGGAGAAAACAATGATGGATATCCTGGATTCTTGGATTGCCTTGCGAAGAGAAGGTGTGATCTCTTCTCCCTTTCTGAGAGCTTCATCATCGATGAAGGTCAAGATTCCCCTTTCACTCAAAGCACTGTACAGATTACCAGTGAAACCAAAACGGGTATCATCTCCACAAAAACTAAGAAAAACATCGTAACGGTATTTTGACACAATAGAAGTAGAAGAAGATGCTTGGTTTTGAGCCATTATAGCGAAACTCGCAAAATGCTTTGGCTTTTGTTTCGTGCGTTCAATTGATTATATAAGGGTTTAACTTTCTTCTTGTTCATATATACTACGTTTTCTTTTCGTTTATCTTTATTTCCACATATTATAACTGCTATGTCGTAACTTTTTTTAGAATTGATTGAAATAGCAAAAACAATGGAAAAGCTTATAATATAATCAACCCACATTTCTTATATAGGATAAGCTGACTTATTTATAATTAATTAATTATTAGTATTTTATCCATATAAAATGAAAATAAATATATAAAAAAGGCAATGATATATATATATATATATATATATATATATATAGTGATTCTCAACTTCATACTAAATTTTATAAAAAAATATTAATCAAACTTATGTCCAACCAATGTAAATATTCTCCAAAAAAAAAAGTTACGATAAATTCAAGTAATACAAGCATCACAAATGTATTTGCAAAAGAAGATTTTTTTCCAAGGGTGATAAATTCTCCACCTTCCAGTGGTTCAAATTAGTTACGCAAATAACTCTCACATTAATTGCATATATTTGTGGACCACGTTATGGTATACTTATACAGTTGACTTAAAACCCATTAATTATTAATTATCGAATAAGTTGTTGAATTGTAATACTTATAATTATTAAATTCGAAATACTTTTTTTTTTTGGTAAATTTTTACTTTGGAATTTGGAATGAATATTTAGATCATAAAAATATTTTAATTTCATGAGCTGAAATTGTATTCTCAATGGCACATTTCATTAATTACACAGTAAATTTTGGAGCCGTTCTTGTATTAATGGAATTCCTATCTGAATTGAAGAGTAATTCATTTTAGATAAGATCATGCAAAAGTAAACCTATGGCCATTATAAGTTGTAATGTTTATTTTAGGTTTAATTTGATGGACCCTGTGATGTGCAAAGGAAATAGGAAATATCTATGCCTATTTATTGCTTATTGAAATGTATGTACACAAATTCTTTTTCAAAAAGTTGAATTAATTACCATTTACTTTGTGGTCCAGTATAATTCAAATAATCCAAAATTAAATTTTCTTTATAATAGGTGCTTTGGATGTAGGATTAAGTCACTTCAAACACTTTCACAATTTATTTTTCAAAATCGTTTGGGTAGTTGTATCTTTGCTTTGTCTTTTTCTTGTCTCTAACCGATCGAGAGTACTCGTCAAAGGTACTTTGATACTTAAGTCAACAAATAATCCGTAAAGGGTCAAGGCAATAGTCTTAAATGCATAGTAAATGTGATCACCTACATATTACCTCTTACATTTATTTATAGTTTTTGAGATAGGTTTGATATTAGTGAAACCTTAATTTCGGTCCAACCTTAACCCATTACTCCTAATCAATACTTACCTTGATCTCTACTTTGAGAAGACTAATTATCAAGTTAGGTCCTCCGGTACTGCTCATGTCTGTCTGGGCTAATTTGTCGAGGTTTTACTTTTCTCCTGGTATCTTAGGTCTTTTGGTCGTCCAACCGCTCCATATCCCCAAGGTCATCGACGTCTATAATTGAATATAGACGTCAGGGTGGCGGGATCGGACGTCTCTAAGACGGAAAAAAATGACTTTTCATCTACCTATCAGACATATGGACGTTGGTTAGGAGGGGCCCGTCGTCTATATTTTATATGATCTGTCGAGGTTTTGCTTTTCTCCTGATATCTTACGTCTTTAGGTTGTCCAATTGCTTCGTATCTTTCAGGGTCGTCCGGTCCTACAGTACCACAGGTCCGCTAGTGCAGAAAGGTCATTTAAGATCTGTTATTTTGGCCTTTTAATGTCAACTCCAAAACCGACGTCTTTGTGGGTGATTTAATCAGACATCGGACTCCATAGGTCCGACGTCTTTATAGATGTCGGTTAATGCATTAACCGATGTCTACTACAGCTCAGGTCTTTGGGTAGCATAGTAGCACCTTCTTCTTTTGCTAGTTTCGTCATAGAAAATGTTGCGTCTTTGGGATCTCTTATGACATTTCTTTTTGCATTCTTTTTTCTAATAATAATGAGCATCGTGCATCTTTTCTCATTTGAGGAGTCATCTGGTAGAGACGACGGGGATCTAGCTAGTAGAGCGGGTAGAGCTGTCAACGTTCATCTCCAAGCTTTGTGTTATCTTCTTACCTCGAGACAACCAAGCGAGAGGGTAGTTCAGAGCCTCAATTCCCTTATATATGGTAAAGGGCTATCAATGGGATAACCATCGGCCTTCATGTTGGGGGAGTCGATGGTATATATATATATATATGTATACACTAATGCCGAAAAGGCTTTTTATACCTGTTAAAAAAAGCTTTTTATACCTATTTCAAGTTGGTATGGAAATATAAAAAATTTTCTATTTTTACATCGATTATAGAACAGGTATAAAAGTTTGAATTCACACTTGCTAATTTGATATCAGGTATAAAAAAGCATAAAAAAAAATTCATTTTTATACCTGCTGATTCCACAAATAGGTATAAAAGAATATCACTTTTACACCGTTATAAAAAAAAATAAGACTTATTATACATTTATAAAAGTGACGTTTTGTTTTTGAATATTTAATATTTATGTGCTATTATTCATATCCAGACCTGCATAAAATTCAATTTCATAATACAGTCTAAACAATCAATAACAAGAAAAATAATTAATACTATTTCTATTATTAACACATCAAAATAATTTCTCAAAATAATATTAACCTAACAAAGTCCCTAAATATATTTACATAACATAATTACACATAAAATAGTTCCTCAATTCAAAATATAATATTGAAACATCTAATCATCTAGAAACTATTATACATAGAAATTAAAAATTACATTGTCTGGAATCCAACTTAAAAAATTAAAAATTACATTGTTTATAACTCAATAACTTTTATTTCTAATAGTTAATAGGCAACTTGGAGAATTTGATAGGCAATTAATCACTCGGAGAATTCGATTGGCAACTTATCACCTAGACTCAACTTTAAAGCGTGAATCATATTCTTCTAGTAGATCAAACTCAAATGCAGTCATGTCAATAACTCGAACCAGTCTCTTATCACCCACATTTCCACTTCCACTAGACCTTTAAATTGAAGGTAGAAATAAAATTATAGAAAAGCACCGAATGCTGATTCTATATATGCAAAAAGGTTAGAGTAATAAAACAAAACAGTAGAACAATATACAGAAAAAAAATTTAAAAAGCATTACAACAGTTTTATGTAAAAATTGTTATAATGGATATTCACTAAAATATGAAAAAGTAAAAAGGAAAGTATATAAAAATAAAAAAAATTTACTCCAATTGTCACTTCAACTCAATAACTTATTATAAAAAATTTAAATAATTGTATGTAATTTTTGTTAAATAAATTATACGAGATTACAATTTTCTGTATAAGAAGGATTTTCCTCAAAAATTCATACAAAATCAGATTGTTGCCTGTGTCTTTGTCGCTTTTTTTCCCAATAATTTTCAGGATACATAAACTTGGCATTATCGCTGACTGAAAGAAATGTCATTGTTCAAATTAGATAGCAATTTCATTCAAATTCTTTGCATGAACTGAATGAATAACAATAAGGCAAAGTACAAAGGACTAAGAATAAAATAACAATATAGAAAGTTATATAATGATTACATATCATAACTCTTGTTGAAGAAATAGAGATAGAGATATAGTCAATGCATTTCTTACCACAAGTAAACTGAAGAGAGAACCAATTAAAGCCATCACAAGTCCTGAAATTACAATAAAGGTATAAGAAAATCACTTCACAAAACTGTTATATCGGTTTATATTATATACTTTCAATCATTAATATTATATAATATTAGATGATCGGGTTGAACAAAACGTCAAGTGATTATTTTAAATATCACATAATAATTTCGTGCCACATTTCACAAAAAAGCACTACCATAAATTTTCTCCACCATAAAAAGCACTACCATTGAGAGAATCTGCACCGTATTTTAAAATAGGCTGTATTTTACAATTGATGTTTTAAAATAATAAATTTATTATATAAATAATATCATGAGACAAAAACTGGGAAGAATTAATACAAAGCAAAGAACAATCGCCAGTGCCAAATGTACTCTTCATATCTGTCAATATTTTACTTGCTCTGTTGAAGAAGAATAAGCAACTCAAATAAGTCTAAAACTACATATAACTATATATCTTTCCAATAAAATTAATGAATAGAGAAGACCCAAGATTGCATTAAGTTGCAACAAACAACATCCAAAGTTTCATTCTCTTTCCTTAATAAAGCAATTTTCGGTTTCAATGGTCACTCTCAGACTATGAAAAAGTATGAGTAGCACATATGAGAATTTATGATGGATGTGTGGTAACACAGGAAAAGATAATATACAAAATGATTGTATTCAAGAAGATATTCATTAATGTTTCAGCAATTGAGGAAAAATTTAAGAAAATCAGTTAAAATAGTTTGAACAAGTACAAAGAAGGCCACTAAAAACAACAGTGGATAGAATAATTTGCATGGCTTTCGGTCCTATGAAACAGAGGAGAGGGAGATCAAGAAGGACAATGGAATTTATTAAAAGGAATGTCATGTTAAACATCTTTGAGGACTTCGTATTTAACCATGCCAATAACATCACTTGATCAATGTTACAAACATAACCTGTGGGATATGGCTTTTGTTGTTATGTTCACTCATACAATATGAAACTAGCACTGAAATTTCAAATTATTTTCATACAAAGTCTACATGTGAAGATCAAATATAAACGAAATTAGCAGGGAAAAACAATACATTTTTAAATTGGTATGGGGTGTCTGCATGTTGTTGATATTCCAATGTACCTGATCACACTTTTTTTAAATTTGCGTAACATGGAAGGTTTAGACAACATGTAGCAGTATGATGCTTGTTCAAGCATTTAAAAAATATTTAACGATAATGGTTCCTATGTAGGGATTTGCCTTTTACTACCTCCCACAATTAGAAAAAGAAGTTAGAACTGAATGTAGGCTCACCGTGTAATTCTTCATCCATTGGAATATGGCTCGACTAGTCAATACAGCACTGATGATAACACTGAGACCAGGTTCAGTTAGAACAATGTCAGAAGCACTACGAGCTGCATCAGTAGCATCAGAAACAGCTATTCCAATATCTGCCTTTTTAAGAGCAGGAGCATCATTAACCCATCACCAGTCATCCCACATAAGTGTTTTCTAGCTTGTAAACGTTTCACAATCTCATATTTGTGTTCTGTATTAAACAAATGTCAAGTCAAAGAAATAAAAAAGAGAATTATACCATATGAAAGTAAACCATCAGAAAACAATGGTGTTATACCAGGAAAAACACCAGCAAATCCATCTGCTTTTTCAATCAAATCATCAACTGGCAAGGTAGCAATTGATTCATCCTTGTTTTGGCCCAGTAAAGCGGACGAGGGGTACATGTTGGTTCCCATTCCCAGACGGCGCCCTGTTTCTTTTCCTATTGCTAGTTGATCACCTAAAAGAATTGATACACATAAAGATATTATATTACACAGAAAAAATATCCATAAACAATCTTATTAATATGTTCAACGCACAAGTGATACACCTAAATGTTACAAGACTTTCTACAAAGATTGCTTCACAAACAAACTATACAAATGATTAGAAATTCAAGCACTTAGTGGAGAGGCCAAAACTGTTAATATTAGCCACACTTGTAATAACAAGTGTTATTCAAGTTGGAAGCAAAAGTATTCCTTCCTGTACTTTATTAACTTCAATTACTTAACCAACAGCAAGATTGACACCAATGACATTACATTCATCAATGTTAGAATTTAATATAAAAAAATATAGAGCCATCAAAAGCGACATTAATGTATTACTTTCTGCCTTTGAATATATAATACATTGCAGGGGACAAATACCTGTTATCATTTTAACATTTACTCCAAGGTTAATGCCCTTCTTATTGTCTCAGCACTATCATGTCTAGGGGGGTCAAACAGAGGCAAGAGTCCAAGAAATTGCCAAGGCCCTCCTTGTGTTATTGCGGAACCCTAATCGATCTTGTGTTATCGTGGAATACATCCATGGGCATTTCCAACTTTATACAGATCGCGGACCTTACGAGAATCCCTAAGTTCAAAGGAAGGCGCGAAATCGAGAATGAAAGCACCAAAATAGAGATCAGACTCTCAGAAACCCTAGAAAGGGGAGAAACTCAAAATGAACCGATCGGTTCAAACGCAAGATTAAACGGTGGAAAAAGGTTTAATCGATGCAAATGAGGCTTTCATCGGTCATATTTGAAGAACAAAGGATGGAAAGGTGTCTAAACAGAAGAAATCAAAGATTGAACAGTGTAAATGGTGGATGAAAATACCTAAAGGATGAAGGAACCCTAGGATGAAGAAGATGTTCGGTGAAAAATATTGAATGAAGAGGAATGAGGCGCGGTTTGCAGAGATGCTAGGGTTTGGAGCTGCGGATCTTGTGTTGACGAGCAGTGGTTTGGCGATCTGGAAAGGGTCGCCTGCGTTGCGTACGTCGAGGGTCTCGAACTCTGCGGAGAAGAAGTGTCCAAGAAAACTAAAAGAAAAGAGAAGACGGGCACACAGTGAAGCGTGAAACGAAGGTCTTGACATAATATCAAATATTCAGTACCGGTTGTAAATAAAAATTAGGTATACAAAATATATCATTTATTACGATTTTACCACCGAACTATTTTTATACCTGTTTTATGTACGAATGACATGAAAAAAAAATTTCATTTAAGATCCTGCCACCGCATATTTTTTATACTATACTTGATAAATTTCAACAATATAAAAGTAGCTATAAAAAGTCAATTTTATACTAATATATATATATATATATTGATACACAACTTCATACTCAATTTTATAAAAAAAATATTAATCAAACTTATGTCCAACCAATGTAAATATTCTCCAAAAAAAAGTTACGATAAATTCAAGTAATACAAGCATCACAAATGTATTTGCAAAAGAAGATTTTTTTCTAAGGGTGATAAATTCTCCACCTTCCAGTTGTTCAAATTAGTTACGCAAATAACTCTCACATTAATTGTATTGCATATATTTGTGGACCACGTTATGGTATAATTATACAGTTGACTTAAAACCCATTAATTATTAATTATCGAATAAGTTGTTGAACTGTAATACTTATATTTATTAAATTCGAAATACTTTTTTTTTGGTAACTTTTTACTTTGGAATTTGGAATGAATATTTAGATCATAAAAATATTTTAATTTCATGAGCTGAAATTGTATTCTCGATCGCACATTTCATTAATTACACAGTAAATTTTGGAGCCGTTCTTGTATTAATGGAATTCCTCTGTATGAATTGAAGAGTAATTCATTTTAGATAAGATCATGCAAAAGTACACCTATGGCCATTATAAGTTGTAATGTTTATTTTCAGTTTAATTTTATGGACCTTTGTGATGTGCAAAGGAAATAGGAAATATTTAGGTTTAATAGGTTACTTTTATACTCGATTTTAAAAGTAAGACATTAGGTTGTTGAGATAAACTTAAATTTTAGAGTTTTATTAATAAATTTATTTAAATCTTATTTTATTAGTTTTAGGTCAAGTAATATTTAGTTTGATTTGATAGAGATAAAATAAGAATTGGTAGTTATGATTTTCTGTTTATTTAGGTAGAATATTATTTTATGATAGAATAAGCAGATTTTATTTTGAAGACAATTGATATTTTATTTTCAGATTTTATTTTTATTCTCGTAATATTGTAAGTGTTGTGGCTATTTAAAGCCCTTCAATTATAATGAATAACAAGACTCAATTTTAGTAAAATATCTGAGTGTGTATCGTGATATTTTCCCAACAGTGGTATCAGAGCTTTATGCTCTGAGTACCGAGAGAGAAATTAAGAGAGAGGAGAGAGTCAAACACCGTGAGAGAAAAAGTGAGTGCTTGATTTTTTTGTGAGAGAGATGACAAAGGTATTCAATGGGATGAGTGTGCCACAATTGTCGGAAAATACCAATTACGACAATTGGTCTTTGCAGATGAAGGTTCTTCTTGGATCCCAAGATGTATGGGACATAGTGGAGGACGGGTACATTGAACCCGCGGATGATGAGCATCAGACTGTGAAACAGATTGCTGCATTGAAGAAGACACGAGTGAAAGACAGATCGACTTTGTACTTTCTGTATAATGCAGTGGATGAATCTGGATTCGAGAAAATAGCTAATGCAAAGTCAGCAAAAGAAGCATGGGAAATTCTGAAGGTGGCATACAAAGGAGATACTCGTGTGATGCAGGTTCGAGTACAAGCTCTCAGAAGAGAGTTTGAACATATGGAGATGGATGAAAATGAGGGAATTGCCGATTTTATAGCTCGAGTGCAGAAGATGGTCAACCAACTCAGAATGAATGGAGAAGAGGTTCCTCCTAATCGGGTTGCGGAAAAGATCTTGAGAAATTTGACGGATGATTTTGAAAGTATCGTGGTCACTATTGAACAGACAAAGGATTTGTCAACTCTCACTGTGGAGGAGTTAGCTGGGTCATTAAAAGCCCACGAATTGAGGAAGAAAAAGAAAAAGAGGGAACCCAACAATCAATTACTACATGTACAGTTTGACTCGAATAAATCTCGGATTACTTAGAGCCGAGGTCCTGGCGGTAGATGGCGAGGAGGACGAGGACGAGGTGGACGTGGCCGAGGTAGGATTAATGAAGATCAAACCGATCACCAGAATTGGCATGACCGAAGACAAGGAAAAGACCGAGGAGATCAGTCAAGAGTGGAGTGTTTTAAGTGTGGCAAGTACGACCACTATGCAAACGAGTGTACGTCAACAAAGTGCTACAACTGTGGCAAGTTTGGTCATATTGCAAAGTATTGCAAGACCGAGACAAAGGGGGAGACAAATCTCGTTACTGAAGATGCAGAAGAAGATGCATAAGAATTGTTGCTGGTAAAGAGCTCGGATGCAGTGGACATGGAGAGCCCAATCTCAATAGTGGATGAACTGATCTCGGTAAAAGGTGTGGCAAATGTGGAAAAGGAACTCAAACAAAAAGATGAAGAGATTCAGCGAATAGGGAGGCTTCTGGATGAAGCTAATGAAATTAGGAATAAACAGAGGGTTGAACTTGAGGAGTTGAAGAAGGCGGCTCTTGAAAAGGAAGATAAAGCATCTAGCGTTTTTGAACTAGATAAAAATAGGGAAGAAGATGAAGAAGAGATGAAGGATGATGAGATTTCTACCAACTCGGTATGGTATCTAGATAGTGGAGCAAGCAATCATATGTGTGGGAACGAGAACTTTTTTTATGAATTCACCAAGGTGGAGGCCAAATTTGTGTCTTTTGGAGATGACTCCAAGGTGGCCGTGAAAGGGCATGGAACAATTCAGCATATTCAGAATAATGGACGAGTTGAAGAGATTAGGGATGTTTATTATGTTCCAGAGTTGAAGAGCAATATTTTAAGCATGGGTCAGATAATTGAAAAAGGTAATTCAATTTTTATGAAAAATCAGGTACTATATTTAAAGGATAAGCATGGTCGTCTAACAACTCAGGTAAAAGCAAAGAAGAACCGGTTGTATGAAGTAGAGCTGAAAATCTTGGAGAGAAGATGCAAGCCTGGTGTGGGATGATGCACATGGAAAGCAAAGAAGGAAGAATTTAAGTTTATGGGGAAGTTTGTTGAGATAAACTTAAATTTTAGGGTTTTATTAATAATTTTGTTTAAATCTTATTTTATTAGTTTTGGGTCAAGTAATATTTAGTTTGATTTGATAGAGATAAAATAGGAATGAGTAGTTATGATTTTCTGTTTATTTAGGTAGAATATTATTTTATGATAGAATAAGCAAATTTTATTTTGAAGACAATTGATATTTTATTTTCAGATTTTTTTTTTATTCTCGTCATATTGTAAGTGTACTGGCTATTTAAAGTCCTTCAATTATAANTCTTACGTCTTTAGGTTGTCCAATTGCTTCGTATCTTTCAGGGTCGTCCGGTCCTACAGTACCACAGGTCCGCTAGTGCAGAAAGGTCATTTAAGATCTGTTATTTTGGCCTTTTAATGTCAACTCCAAAACCGACGTCTTTGTGGGTGATTTAATCAGACATCGGACTCCATAGGTCCGACGTCTTTATAGATGTCGGTTAATGCATTAACCGATGTCTACTACAGCTCAGGTCTTTGGGTAGCATAGTAGCACCTTCTTCTTTTGCTAGTTTCGTCATAGAAAATGTTGCGTCTTTGGGATCTCTTATGACATTTCTTTTTGCATTCTTTTTTCTAATAATAATGAGCATCGTGCATCTTTTCTCATTTGAGGAGTCATCTGGTAGAGACGACGGGGATCTAGCTAGTAGAGCGGGTAGAGCTGTCAACGTTCATCTCCAAGCTTTGTGTTATCTTCTTACCTCGAGACAACCAAGCGAGAGGGTAGTTCAGAGCCTCAATTCCCTTATATATGGTAAAGGGCTATCAATGGGATAACCATCGGCCTTCATGTTGGGGGAGTCGATGGTATATATATATATATATGTATACACTAATGCCGAAAAGGCTTTTTATACCTGTTAAAAAAAGCTTTTTATACCTATTTCAAGTTGGTATGGAAATATAAAAAATTTTCTATTTTTACATCGATTATAGAACAGGTATAAAAGTTTGAATTCACACTTGCTAATTTGATATCAGGTATAAAAAAGCATAAAAAAAAATTCATTTTTATACCTGCTGATTCCACAAATAGGTATAAAAGAATATCACTTTTACACCGTTATAAAAAAAAATAAGACTTATTATACATTTATAAAAGTGACGTTTTGTTTTTGAATATTTAATATTTATGTGCTATTATTCATATCCAGACCTGCATAAAATTCAATTTCATAATACAGTCTAAACAATCAATAACAAGAAAAATAATTAATACTATTTCTATTATTAACACATCAAAATAATTTCTCAAAATAATATTAACCTAACAAAGTCCCTAAATATATTTACATAACATAATTACACATAAAATAGTTCCTCAATTCAAAATATAATATTGAAACATCTAATCATCTAGAAACTATTATACATAGAAATTAAAAATTACATTGTCTGGAATCCAACTTAAAAAATTAAAAATTACATTGTTTATAACTCAATAACTTTTATTTCTAATAGTTAATAGGCAACTTGGAGAATTTGATAGGCAATTAATCACTCGGAGAATTCGATTGGCAACTTATCACCTAGACTCAACTTTAAAGCGTGAATCATATTCTTCTAGTAGATCAAACTCAAATGCAGTCATGTCAATAACTCGAACCAGTCTCTTATCACCCACATTTCCACTTCCACTAGACCTTTAAATTGAAGGTAGAAATAAAATTATAGAAAAGCACCGAATGCTGATTCTATATATGCAAAAAGGTTAGAGTAATAAAACAAAACAGTAGAACAATATACAGAAAAAAAATTTAAAAAGCATTACAACAGTTTTATGTAAAAATTGTTATAATGGATATTCACTAAAATATGAAAAAGTAAAAAGGAAAGTATATAAAAATAAAAAAAATTTACTCCAATTGTCACTTCAACTCAATAACTTATTATAAAAAATTTAAATAATTGTATGTAATTTTTGTTAAATAAATTATACGAGATTACAATTTTCTGTATAAGAAGGATTTTCCTCAAAAATTCATACAAAATCAGATTGTTGCCTGTGTCTTTGTCGCTTTTTTTCCCAATAATTTTCAGGATACATAAACTTGGCATTATCGCTGACTGAAAGAAATGTCATTGTTCAAATTAGATAGCAATTTCATTCAAATTCTTTGCATGAACTGAATGAATAACAATAAGGCAAAGTACAAAGGACTAAGAATAAAATAACAATATAGAAAGTTATATAATGATTACATATCATAACTCTTGTTGAAGAAATAGAGATAGAGATATAGTCAATGCATTTCTTACCACAAGTAAACTGAAGAGAGAACCAATTAAAGCCATCACAAGTCCTGAAATTACAATAAAGGTATAAGAAAATCACTTCACAAAACTGTTATATCGGTTTATATTATATACTTTCAATCATTTATATTATATAATATTAGATGATCGGGTTGAACAAAACGTCAAGTGATTATTTTAAATATCACATAATAATTTCGTGCCACATTTCACAAAAAAGCACTACCATAAATTTTCTCCACCATAAAAAGCACTACCATTGAGAGAATCTGCACCGTATTTTAAAATAGGCTGTATTTTACAATTGATGTTTTAAAATAATAAATTTATTATATAAATAATATCATGAGACAAAAACTGGGAAGAATTAATACAAAGCAAAGAACAATCGCCAGTGCCAAATGTACTCTTCATATCTGTCAATATTTTACTTGCTCTGTTGAAGAAGAATAAGCAACTCAAATAAGTCTAAAACTACATATAACTATATATCTTTCCAATAAAATTAATGAATAGAGAAGACCCAAGATTGCATTAAGTTGCAACAAACAACATCCAAAGTTTCATTCTCTTTCCTTAATAAAGCAATTTTCGGTTTCAATGGTCACTCTCAGACTATGAAAAAGTATGAGTAGCACATATGAGAATTTATGATGGATGTGTGGTAACACAGGAAAAGATAATATACAAAATGATTGTATTCAAGAAGATATTCATTAATGTTTCAGCAATTGAGGAAAAATTTAAGAAAATCAGTTAAAATAGTTTGAACAAGTACAAAGAAGGCCACTAAAAACAACAGTGGATAGAATAATTTGCATGGCTTTCGGTCCTATGAAACAGAGGAGAGGGAGATCAAGAAGGACAATGGAATTTATTAAAAGGAATGTCATGTTAAACATCTTTGAGGACTTCGTATTTAACCATGCCAATAACATCACTTGATCAATGTTACAAACATAACCTGTGGGATATGGCTTTTGTTGTTATGTTCACTCATACAATATGAAACTAGCACTGAAATTTCAAATTATTTTCATACAAAGTCTACATGTGAAGATCAAATATAAACGAAATTAGCAGGGAAAAACAATACATTTTTAAATTGGTATGGGGTGTCTGCATGTTGTTGATATTCCAATGTACCTGATCACACTTTTTTTAAATTTGCGTAACATGGAAGGTTTAGACAACATGTAGCAGTATGATGCTTGTTCAAGCATTTAAAAAATATTTAACGATAATGGTTCCTATGTAGGGATTTGCCTTTTACTACCTCCCACAATTAGAAAAAGAAGTTAGAACTGAATGTAGGCTCACCGTGTAATTCTTCATCCCTTGGAATATGGCTCGACTAGTCAATACAGCACTGATGATAACACTTTGACCAGGTTCAGTTAGAACAATGTCAGAAGCACTACGAGCTGTGTCAGTAGCATCAGCAACAACTATTCCAATATCTGCCTTTTTAAGAGCAGGAGCATCATTAACCCATCACCAGTCATCCCACATAGGTGTTTTCTAGCTTGTAAACGTTTCACAATCTCATATTTGTGTTCTGTATTAAACAAATGTCAAGTCAAAGAAATAAAAAAGAGAATTATACCATATGAAAGTAAACCATCAGAAAACAATGGTGTTATACCAGGAAAAACACCAGCAAATCCATCTGCTTTTTCAATCAAATCATCAACTAGCAAGGTAGCAATTGATTCATCCTTGTTTTGGCCTAGTAAAGCGGACGAGGGGTACATGTTGGTTCCCATTCCCAGATGGCGCCCTGTTTCTTTTCCTATTGCTAAGATCACCTAAAAAAATTGATACACATAAAGATATTATATTATACTGAAAAATCCATAAACAATCTTATTATTATGTTCAACGCACAAGTGATTCACCTAAAAGTTATAAGACTTTCTACAAAGATTGCTTCACAACAAACTATACAAATGATTAGAAATTCAAGCACTTAGTGGAGAGGCCAAAACTGTTAATATTAGCCACACTTGTAATAACAAGTGTTATTCAAGTTGGAAGCAAAAGTATTCCTTCCTGTACTTTCTTAACTTCAATTACTTAACCAACAGCAAGATTGACACCAATGTCATTACATTCATCAATGTTAGAATTTAATATAAAAAAATATAGAGCCATCAAAAGCGACATTAATGTATTACTTTCTGCCTTTGAATATATAATACATTGCAGGGGACAAATACCTGTTATCATTTTAACATTTACTCCAAGGTTAATGCCCTTCTTATTGTCTCAGCACTATCATGTCTAGGGGGGTCAAACAGAGGCAAGAGTCCAAGAAATTGCCAAGGCCCTCCTTGTGTTATTGCGGAACCCTAATCGATCTTGTGTTATCGTGGAATACATCCATGGGCATTTCCAACTTTATACAGATCGCGGACCTTACGAGAATCCCTAAGTTCAAAGGAAGGCGCGAAATCGAGAATGAAAGCACCAAAATAGAGATCAGACTCTCAGAAACCCTAGAAAGGGGAGAAACTCAAAATGAACCGATCGGTTCAAACGCAAGATTAAACGGTGGAAAAAGGTTTAATCGATGCAAATGAGGCTTTCATCGGTCATATTTGAAGAACAAAGGATGGAAAGGTGTCTAAACAGAAGAAATCAAAGATTGAACAGTGTAAATGGTGGATGAAAATACCTAAAGGATGAAGGAACCCTAGGATGAAGAAGATGTTCGGTGAAAAATATTGAATGAAGAGGAATGAGGCGCGGTTTGCAGAGATGCTAGGGTTTGGAGCTGCGGATCTTGTGTTGACGAGCAGTGGTTTGGCGATCTGGAAAGGGTCGCCTGCGTTGCGTACGTCGAGGGTCTCGAACTCTGCGGAGAAGAAGTGTCCAAGAAAACTAAAAGAAAAGAGAAGACGGGCACACAGTGAAGCGTGAAACGAAGGTCTTGACATAATATCAAATATTCAGTACCGGTTGTAAATAAAAATTAGGTATACAAAATATATCATTTATTACGATTTTACCACCGAACTATTTTTATACCTGTTTTATGTACGAATGACATGAAAAAAAAATTTCATTTAAGATCCTGCCACCGCATATTTTTTATACTATACTTGATAAATTTCAACAATATAAAAGTAGCTATAAAAAGTCAATTTTATACTAATATATATATATATATATTGATACACAACTTCATACTCAATTTTATAAAAAAAATATTAATCAAACTTATGTCCAACCAATGTAAATATTCTCCAAAAAAAAGTTACGATAAATTCAAGTAATACAAGCATCACAAATGTATTTGCAAAAGAAGATTTTTTTCTAAGGGTGATAAATTCTCCACCTTCCAGTTGTTCAAATTAGTTACGCAAATAACTCTCACATTAATTGTATTGCATATATTTGTGGACCACGTTATGGTATAATTATACAGTTGACTTAAAACCCATTAATTATTAATTATCGAATAAGTTGTTGAACTGTAATACTTATATTTATTAAATTCGAAATACTTTTTTTTTGGT